TCCTTTTTTATTAATAAATAATAATCATTCATCTTTTTCTTGGTGAACAACTGTGATTGTGAGCAGCACATTAAGCACCCAGATCTAAACTGCCCCAACCAACTTCGGCCATATCAATGTGATGGTTGTTATTGATCGTCCATGCCCGCTCGCCCGCCCCCCGGCCATTGTTACCGCCACTAAGCTCTTCTTTTTTGCCCAACTATTAACGCGTGACTTCATCCGATTTTAAGCAATTTAATAAGTCCAACACGATTTTACCTTGATTTTATGTGATTTCAATTTTAAGTTCGAGTTGACGCGAAATCAATACTTGTGATCGTAAACCCATGTTATTTTACGAGTTAAATAACGAATTTGACAACCATGCCATGCTGTTGCCTGTTTTGCTTTTAGTATTTTGTTGTAAGTTTAGAAAAGCAGCACATATAAGAACTTTTATGTATTTATTGGCAGGAATACCTATAAAGAGAGAAGTTGAGTGATTTATCAAAATGAGAAAAAAAAAAAGAGGAAAATTATTGATATACCTTATAATTTAATATATTTGTCAATACTTATTGATTTAGTAATTAAAATTTACACTTAAAAATTTTTTTATTTTGAATTCAAATTTAAAAATAATAATTTTTTATAATTTTTTAATAAATATATTAGAGTATATTAAAAAAAAAGTGATGGGAAAAGAGAGAAATAAGCCCTAGACAGAGCCTTTACCTACCCAAAAAGTTGTCATGTTTATTCACCATATTCTTGTTAAGAACTCCCACCTAACATCTTTAACGGAAATTCCTTCCCTTCGCACCACGATCCAATCCTACCACTTAATCATCATGCCTCACTCATGAAAAAATTGAAAAAGAAAAGAATTTATCAAGCATGCATATCCACTTTCAGTCCTTCGTTCTCACCTTCATTTCATATCAACAAGTTATACATCTATAAAAGTTAGATAAAAAATATTCTAATTGTAAATATAGTAATTAAGTTGTTTAATGGACACTGATTAATACATATTTCAATTCAATATACTGTACAAAACATTTTATAACGATCCAAATCCCATATCAATAGAGAATTATAAGTAAGTCCGGCGTATATATATATATATGTATATATATATGGTGACTAACCACTACTAATAATTTGAGCTTGAGTTTTTGAAGTCTCATAGATGTTGGTCTGAAAAGTTATTAGGCCAAAGTGGTTTTTGGCCTTAGTTGTTTTAGTTATTATTAGTACTAATAACTTGAATTTGAAATTTTAATAAAGGCTCATGGACTTAGTCCAGTGATAGGGTTCAGTTTGAGTCATTTCAAACTTATTAAAAAAATCATTATTTTTTAGTTTAAAATTAAAATTAGATAAACTAATTAAAGATATAATTATGCATAAAAAATATAGAAACCGATTAAATTGATTGTATTTATATTATATTTTTAATGACTAAATCAAATAAATATAAAAAAATGTATCAAATTGAGTATGTACCAATCATTTTTTTCATTTAATACA